CCTTTCTTCTTTAAGCCTTAGTTTCTCCATCAGTAAAATGAACTCTAAAATATCTTAGCTCTTTGAACACTTAGTATTTGAGTCATTTGAAAGATGATGACTGGACATTGTTGTTCTCTTTACTTCCCCAGTCATAAAACCTCAGGCAAATGCTGGCAGTTCTTATTATCTGTTTTTATGTTAAGGCCAGCGAGAGGCATGCCCCTGGGTTCTAGGGCAAGACAATGCACACTGTATAAAACAGATGGTCAATTACAGCTAAGGCAGTGAATGAAACGGATACAGCTCCAGAGAGCCAGGGCAGCCCTCACAGCCCCGCCAGCCTGTGTCCTGCAGACCAGTCTCCTGAGCTTGTGCTGATAAGGAAGTCCTTCCCATCCCTCACGGACAGACAAGGGGTTTGAAATGTACTCACGCTGAAGAGCTGGTAAAAAAAAAAGAAAACTGCCTTAATGGAGAGGTCTGGGCAACTTACGGAATCGAGATAAGAAAACACTTTAAAACCATCATCTGAAAGTGTACCCTTTTGAATCAGAAGGAAAGACTTGCTTTCCTCCATGTAGGTGGCTACAGGGCCTCTAGGTTTTAGCTGATCTCCTCTGAGAAAACTATTCTCACAGCGCCTCATGCACGCCTCTCCTGTAGCCCTCAGCAGCCACTCTGACCTCTTGTCTTTAGCACTTACTAATAAATAAGTTTATCTCCATGACTTTGCACAAGAAGTTCCAATGCCCAGATGAATTCATATCCTTCTCAGTGGGTGACAATGGCATCTCTGCCTCAGGAGAGTAGTTAACCAAAGCATGGGAGCTGGGAAGATTCAGTGTAACAATAGCACGTCTCACTAATTTAGTACTCTGCAATTTACAAAGTCTTTTAAATACACAATTTTATATTTTAGTCTAATAGCCATAGGTGTGTGTGTGTGTGGGGTGTTTAAGAATCTGAATCCCTCTCTATAGGTGAGATCGAGAGAGGTAAAGTGATTTATCCAATGTCACTTATATAAAATGTCAGTGTCAGATCTAAAGCTCATTCTTGCATTTAGACATTGCTATGTTAAGGAAACCCCGCTCAAATAGGCAGCTCAATTCCTGCCGCAGACTGGGGAGGGTGGGGCCTTGACCAGACCTCACAGCGGTAGCAGTGAACATGGAAATCACGATCCAGGGCCACAATACGGACGGTCTCCTCTTGACCTGGGGCCGGCATGATGGGCTCCTTGCACACAGAACATCGGGGGGCAAATTTCCTGAAAATGGAGATAAAGGGCTGGTTAGATACTGAGCACAGGCACTGAGATAGAGGACAGACACTGAGATAAGCAGGAAAGGTGGGAACTGGGGAGTCAGGGAATCTGTTTCCTCATCGGTACAGTGAGGGAGTTAGACTCAAAGCACCGCACTGGTTGGCAAGGGAGGAATAAGTGTGCGAACTTCTTAGAACAAGAATGTCTGGGAGGTCTTCATCACACGGCTGTCACAGATGGACTTCACTTTGGGATAGATTCTGAAAACAAACCCTGACCTTGGGCGAGGCTGGCCGGGAGGGAGAGCACGGGTCCTATCCCACTCTCACTTATTTCTGAGTTTTGCTTCTAGACTTTCCTATGCACTCCACAGGTCTCAGACACAACTTCTCAGGTACCTTTGCCTTGCTTTCCCTTTTCAGGGCCTCTTTCTTAGAAATGTCTCTTGAATTCTAGACAAGAAATGGAGAGCTTTTTACAAATGCAGACAGGCCAGCCATGGGAGCTTGAGCCTGTAATCCTAGCACTCTGGGAGATGGACGTGGGTGGACAGCTTGAGCAAAACTTGAACTCAGGGGTTCAAGACCAGCCTGGGCAGAAACGTGAGACCCCTCATCTCTACTAAAAATAGAAAAACTGAGGCAAGAGGATTGCTTGAGCCCTAGTTGGAGGTTTCTGTGAGCTATGATGCCATAGCACTCTATCCAGGGCAACAGCTTGAGACTGTCTTGAAAAAAAATAAAAATAAAAAAAAAGAAAAGGGCAGACAGAGGTGAGTGAGTTTAAATGCACATCATACTAAAGTGACAATGGCTAAGTCCACATTTTCTATTGTGCTAAACTTTTATTTGAAAAGAAAAAGTTAAAGAGCTATGAATATCTTTATTCTTTAAAGAATTTTAGCACTTTTAAATGGTACGTGTACATGAGCACACAAGTACATACACATATGTATACACTTGCAGATGTTTCTGAGGCTGCAGCTAAAGCATTTCGATAGTTCTTAATATGATCGATGGTCCCTAATTTTTTTTCTCTCATGCCAGATTAATAGGCTGCAAATATAGGCCACATATCCACCTATATCTACTGGAAATTAGAGGTGGTGAGTGTGTTCATGAAGATTGGAGATGAGATGTGTTTTGAAATGAATGTGGATAAGAATTGAAGAGATTAAAAAGAAAGAACAGACTGTGCAACTCAGTTTTTTCATGGTAATGGCTTTAAGATTAATGATGTTAAAATTTATCTATTTGTAGTGAGACTTAAAAGGAAATAATGATAGTAATCTGATACTTTGTAGAGTACTTTATGGCTGTCAAAGCATTTTTACATACATTATACTCTATATGTACATATTAATTTTCCTAGCGGCACCCAAAAGGCATCTGTATGGCTGCAATCTAAATAAATATGAATTAAGCAGCAGATAAATTGATTGCTATGAAAGAAAAATTAAAAGGATCATGGCACCACTGCAGCAGTAATCAGAGTTGTTAAAATTGGCATTTTATGCAAGAAGTTTATATCCAGTGGCAAAAAATTGCTCTGGACTACCTGCTTATTTTTAAATCTGGGTTATCAGTGGTGAAATAAGCAGGCTTCTGGATCAACCGCCCTCCCAGAGTTTCCCCACCTTCTGTGAGTGCACAAGTATGTTTTCCTTATCAATGTATCCATAAGCTTCCCCCAGTTCCCCAGGAAGAATTACTTACTCCTCTAGGATAAAAAAATCTTTCACTGAAATTCCTATTTTGGTAACAATTACTTGCATATCTCTGGGGACCACTGAACTGTTAAACCATAAGCTTCCAAAGGATAGGACTTTGCTCTATCTCCAAAAGTCCTGAGACAACTGCCAGGACGGGTGCAGAAGAAAAGGAATTCGGGCTGTGTTTAATGGAGGGAGGTACCGGCCATATTTCTCTACAGAAATGGTGTTATTGGGCTTAATGTTCAATCTCAAGGTTCTTCTCTTTTGGAAAGACATAAACCATATTCTTGCTGCGTAATGATTCTTTCCTCCCAATAAGCCTCATTTCCATGATGGGAAAAAGCAAAGGGAAGAGACAAGAGGTGCTTGAACAGTTCCCATGGTGCTCCTTGGACAGCAATCCAAGGAGGGTTCAAAATCACAGGTGGCCTATTTCAAGGATGAGTTTATTGAGTGGACAGTAATAGTATAATGCCAGAATAGTAAGTATCATACATTTGATAAAAACACTTTTGATAATTAAAGCTGCCATTTATTGTGTGCCTATTAGGTGCTAAGCCCTGTGAAGCACTTTTACTCTTGACATTATTTTCTAGTGACAGCAAGATTATGGGGAAGTAGTTTTATCGTTTCTACTTTATGGCCACAGGAGCCAAGGCTCAGAGAGGGATGATCTTAGTCATCCTGCATCCCAGGGTTCAGACGGTGCGAGCACTATCCACAGCAGATTTGCCAAACTCTGGAAGACACGGACACAGAAAACGGTGCACATTCAAGCCGGGGACAGGGAGGAGGTAAGATCAGAGAAGTCTTCTCAGAGGGAATGTAATTGAATCGCGTCTTTAGAAACAGCCATTTAGATGATGTGGGACAGTGTCTGTGTGTCTGTTGGGGGTGGGGGGAGCCAGTCTGCAGGCCAAGCTACTGGTTTGCAGCAGTTATCTGAAACGCTGTCTGTGAAAGAGTTCATGTCCAGTACGCTGGGGGATACGAGCCAACTTTGACCAAAGGTGGTTATGTAGGGGATGGCCCATTAACAAGGCCTCAAACAGTATTTTGGGAGCTTGTTACTTCAAGCACAGTTCAAGACCACTTGGGAGCCTCTCTGAAATGGAGACTCGCAGGCGGCACCCCGGACCTGAATTAGAATGTGAAGTTTAATAAGATCCGTTTATGAATCACAGGCGTAGAAGACTTCCAGAAACAGTGGTTTGCAAGACAGACAAAACAGGTGAGACAAATTCCTTCTCAATTCCTACAAGATCTCCTGTACCTGAAGGTAACCTGCACTCCCAGTCTGCCCAGATACATCAAAGTAAACCTTGAAATATAGGGAACCCTTTCCCAGCTCTGTGTCCTTGCTTTTTGGCTGATATGTTCCTTCTGCCAGGAATCTCTTTGTTTTTACATTTAAGACACTCTCCAAATTCTCCTTCGGTGTAGCCTCCCCCATGGCACAGCCCAGTGGCCTCTTCTGCCTCTGACAGCATGAGCTGAGCCCTTACCTGGGCCTCCTGCATCCGGCCCTTTCTGCCTTATGTCTGCACATTTTCTCTGCCCTCCTCCTGGCAAGCTCCTTGCTGACAGAGACGTCTCTATATATATCTGTGTAATTTCTCTCCTTACATCTTCAATGTAGAGCACAGTAACTGGCACACAGGGGGCTCTGTATTAATGTGAGCGGAAGCAAGGACTGAAAATATCTCCTAAAAACCCACAAACGGAGAATATTCAGAAGGACCAAAAACAAGGCCCACAAAATCTGTGTCAAGAAAAAATCTGTACCCTTTTATGTACCCTCTCCGTGGCCTTGCAGAGCCCATCCTGTGCTGGACTTCTAGCTGCTTTGTGTGCTGGTAATTTTAAAGTTCAGAAATAAGTGTTCTATAAAACATTCTCTTATTTTCCTTTGGGAAATGGGAAAAGAGCAAAAGCTTCTCTCTAGACGTAACTGCCAATCATGAAAACAACATTATTTTTAAAAAAATAATTTATATTCTAAAATGCATTGAACTGGAAAGAGGGTAATTAGGGGGGTTATTTTTTTCCCCCTTTTTAATTGATCAAATATGCTTTTTTGGAGCTTTCAGAACCTCATCCTTACGTTATAAGTCTCTAATTATGCTCCCCAGTCCTAGAAATAAAAGATAAATGGCATAGATATAAACTTACATTTGTCAGAATTGATTTCCTGTTTTAATTGAGGGGTATAATATATCAGTCTTTTCCAGCAAAAGAAACATGTGTGCTCTGATTATATCTATCAGTCTTTCTTGGATTAGGGAAAGGAGAGAAACAGTGACAGAATCGACTTCCCATTGGTATCTTTTCACTTCCCTTAAATAGATGCAGGTTCTTTTCTTCTTCTTTTTTTTTTTAACGTGTAATTACAAGCTAAAAATATCAATAATGTGAAGTACAATTTATGCTGTGACTGTCCTTTAAAAATGAGCCCTTCCTTGTCTAATTCAGGTTAAAAATTTCTGCCTCTGGGTTTTTAAAATTCATTCAGTCTCATGTCTATTAGTGAGGTTTTCAGTTTCTTTGCTACTTAAAAAGTGGTCAGGAAATTCATTTTTAAAATATGAGTCCCGGACCCTTAAAGTGCTTGTGGTGAATACTTCCTGGTTGTTGAAAATCAACAGAGTGGGAAGATTCGCCCACAAGACTATACATTTGGGGGCTAGAACAGGTACCCAAGGTGGTGAGCAATCTGAGCCTCATCTCCTTGGCAGCCTCGGAAGCTGTCCTCAAAGCCTGCGCCTAACACACAGGAGCCAGGAAACCTCTGGGCCTACCATTCACAAATCATATCTATGGCTTTAATACAGTTCTCAGAAATATATCACAAAGGTTACATACCAATTAGGCAATTAACCAAGTGGCCAAATCAAAATAAGCAAAATACAAAACCGTAATTTTCTTGGAAACTACAGCCGTAACAGGAAAGAGGGAATTACAAATGAGAGCAAGGAAGAAGTGGGGACGTAACTGGCCTTGATCTTGAGGCTCTATTTCTAATTCTCCTCTGAGCATCATGCAATTTAACTTGATTAATTTCATTAGGAAAAAAAAGCTGAGGAAGGGAAGGCCTGGGTGGGGGGAAAGACCAGGGAAAAGCATGTATGTGTTGACAGCGGCGTGGCTGCCTCTGAATCTGGGGGCGAGGCTCAGATGGGTAAGAGACACAGGAATTTGTCTGTGTTTATTCACCATATCCTCCTCTTTGTAGAGTGGCAGGGATGCAGAGCTTAGCTTTTGAGACAGCTCTGAGTTGACACGGCTGAGAGAGCTTTAGGACCAGGTTTGCAAACAAGTAAGTTGAAATGCTCCCAGAAGTTGAGCCATTTGCCACATGTCACACATCTTCGTGTTTAGTCAGGATTTTGCCACTTTCTAATATAATGTTCTACCAGTGAGTCGACTTTGTCACAATCAGAGCCACCCAAAGATGCAATGGACAGGCCCCGGGCAGCAGAGGTCAGGCTGGATGACCACATGGATCTCTTGATACAAATGCCTGCATTTGGATGAGGGGTACATGTTTTTAAAGGTCCCACTAAATCCTGAGATTCTACAACTCTGAGAGAGGAGAATGGATACCAGCTGGCTAAAAAAAGGAGAGGAGGCTGCCTACTTGTGGAAGTCCTCGATGCAGTGGATGAGCCCGCCGGCGTCCACGGTGAACGGAATCCCATCCAGGCTGCGGTGGCACATCACACAGGTGAAGCAATGCGGGTGATAAGCCTTCCCGGTGGCTCGGAGGATCCGCTCCATGATGGGCTTGGCGCACACGTTGCACTGCTCCAGAGTATTCTGAGGAAGGAAAGAAAAGCCACATCAGGCCGGGGCTTGAGGAGCTCCATACCGCATGATAAGTATCACAAAACACATCAACTCAGGTGCTTGTCCAGTGCTCAGGGGAAGGCAGAGTGCATGCTGTATGAGAGAGAGGAGGAGATGCAACTGCATGGATTAAGCAGCTTTTCTAGGTAGCAGATGGAAAATACAGGGTTTAGAGTACATGTTTTATGACTTCCACCCTTGGCACTTCCCTTGTTTCCCATAGCAAGGGTGACGGCAAACTTTTCTGCAAAGCCCCTTGAAGTAAAATCTTTCTGGCTTTGTTGGAACAACCTAGTTTTGCTGTTGAAGCTCAAAGGCAGCCATAGACAGCATGTAAACAAAGGGGCATCCACCAAACTTGATTTATAGAAATAGGTGATGGGCTGGATTGGGCCTGTGATGTTAGTTTGCTGATCCCTGAAATACACCATTTGGAGACAGCTTCACTGTTACTTCAAAAACTTGATCCAGCATTAAAGACCTAGCAGAGTCACTAAGGCCCCTCACTCTTTACAGAGGGGCCTGTCTGACGTCTAAGACAGCCTGCTACCTGCACAAGAGCTCAGCATGATCCACAAGGCTTCTGAACCTTTACAGCCTTCCTTCAAAATATCATTGAAGGTTTGATGGTTTGTAAATTCTTGACAGAAATGTTGAACCTGTAAGGGCCTGCTTTTGGAAAGTGAATTAAAAAAGCCAATTTAATTGGCTTTAAAAATATGCTGGACTTTAGAAACACAGACCTCCTCTTAATCTGAGTCAGGACTTACACAGATTGATTGCTAACCTCTCCATAGAATCCCTGCTCTTACCAAACAACCACGCTTCACGTGTGATCTGCTACGTTCCAAATAAGATACCTGAACTGACTCGCTGAATTTACGTTCAGGAGTAAGCTTAGGATGTGGATCTCTCTAGGAAGATGCAGACCTGGATGGAGTCTAGAACTAAGCAGTAACTGCCCTCGGAATGGCTGTGAAGGAAGCAGCACCCAGGGTCCTTGTGTCTGAACTGGCTTACTTGCATCTCATCTCTGGTAGTACCCCCCCCCCCAATAACTTCTGACTTAATTTCCAAAACACAGATGTGGATAAACACCTTTCCTGATTAAAAAAACAAAAACAAAAGACTTGCTGCTTCCTCTAAAATGTAAAAAGAACTAATTCCTGACATACGTTCACCCGTCCTTTCTAGGCCAGGCTTCTCAGGCCACACTAGACTGCTCGCTCTTCTTCAGCCTGTGACAAACTGCCCTAATTCTGGGCCTCTAATGCCTACATGCATTGCAATTTGCCATTTTCACCTTTCAAGTACAGGCCAAAATGTAACTTCCCAGTGAATCCTTCCCTCACGGCCCCATCTAGAATTAATTGGTTCTTTTTCTGCCATTTTTGAGAGTATGCTTACAGTTACATTTTATTAAATTTATCTGTGCCCATGTCTACTTCCTCTACCACGCTGTAATTCTGTTAAGGGGGAGACTGAATAGAATAGAATTCTCTGTCCCATATCACATGCACTCTGTATGTGGGCTGGGATAACAATAAGCCTGGGGTGAACGTGTGCAAAAGAATGAATGGAGGAATATTGTTTACATCTCACCCTGGCAGCGCAGTGCTGGCCTGACTCCCTTAACTCTGGAATCCAACCCAAGATGAATTGGTAAATCCATCATCATCCTTTCCTCAAAGCTGCGGTTGCCCAAGCTTCTGAAATTGCTTAGTACGCCTCTGGTCACAGTCTAAACTCATGGAAACTATTAACCTATTTTTTTCCCCCATTTTGAAGTGGTGAAATTAAAATAGCAGAAGAGCCTAGGACGAGTGTGTGGAGATGACGAAGGTCTGGAGAATGAGGGCCTGCTTCTTTTCTACCCTGATGAGCTGAGCTAATGTGGCTGGAAATTGTCTTCCCAAGGCTTGTGTTTTGCTTCTCTGTGGTTTTAACATTTTTTTATTTTTAAAGCTAGCTCTTTAATGGAGTTGAACAGCCAGAAAATGCTTCACCAGAAAATGTTTCTGTTTGCATTGAGGCTTGGCTACAAGACTCAGTTCATTTATTCAAAACTAGCAGCAACATACACGGTTAAGTCAGTTGTTATGGAAAGACTTTATGGTCTGTAGGAGCTTTATTCAAATGACAGGTAATTCAAACATTTCTGCTGCAATGGAAAAAAGTGTAAAATATGCCTAAAATCAACCTATTGCAAAATGTACCCCAATTAGAATAAAAAGTTGCAAGAATGCAATTGACTGGCATCCTGGCTAGTGAGTGATGGAGAGGGCACGCTGACCTTCACTAACCAACTCCCTCAACTGCCTCCCTCCCTTTCTAGTCTCTAGCTGGCCCGCTGGTCCCCCTGGGCCCACTTTCCCTTAGAGAAAGAAGAAAAACTGACACGGTCAGGGAGGAGGGTGTTGGGGGGTCCCTCCACCCCAGGCTCTGATTGCACAGGTGCACAAACAGATCCGGAGAACTGATCAATTGGACATGAGTCATGGAGCTCATGAGGAAAGACGGGGAACTGGAAATTGAGAACCCAGTTCCTAAGTCCCAGTAATTCAGAGAGGGACCTGAGGAATTCAGTACTTAGGCAGGGAGAAGAAAAGTTGGTAGGTGAAGCCTATGACTCATCCTTCGGGTTTTGACAATATCTACAGTTTGACCTTGGGTAAATAATTTCTTGTTTCTAGACCTCAGTTTTCTCATCTGTAAAATGATGATTAATTCAAACTGGACTGTTTTATCGCTCTGTGATATATTAATATGAAAGAGTGACTATTTCCATTATCAGAGATATTCTAGGAACAATTGGATAAGCCCCTTTTTAGAGGTGTGAAAGGGGGTTCATCTTTTAGAAACCTAGACTACATTGCCTCTTACAAGTCCAGAACTTGATAATGGTAGAATTTCAAGTACCATGAAGTATTTGTGTCATCTTATAGATGATTATTTTAAATCCAGATCCATCCCCAAATGTACTCTTCATATGAATATTAGGCTTCTCTGAAGCAGATTAAAATGAAATGATTGATAAAATAGTTCTGAAGAAAACAAAGTTTTCAAGCATATAAGTGAAAGGGGTTATCTCCTGATGTGTCTATGTGAATCACATTCTGCATGTTTAATAGGGTTGCCATGTTTGATGGATAGGAAATAAGAGGAAAAGAACACACTCTAGCCTAAAACTCTCTAAGACCAGGAGAGGGCTTGGCAGGCTGACTCCTGACCCAACTCCACCTCTGTCCCCTGGGCACTCCATCTTTCAGCTGCCACACTCAGCTTTCTGCCACATCTTCAATAAGGCAACATTCCTTTATGAGCCCAGGGCACTTCACTCCTTATTCTGTGTAGAGAATGCCTACTCATTCCTCTAAATGAAGCTCGCATGGCCACATCTCCTGAGAAATCTTTTCTAATTCTCTCTTTGTTATATGAGGTTGACAATTAAGTTCACAAACTCATCCTAACAAAGTGCTACATACCTCAGTGCCGAATATCATGATGGTCACCTTTGAAGTACTGCCCTTGGGAAGTTACGCGCCAATGCCAGCGCCTAGTCCACCCTTCAAAGCATCTTTTCTAGGATGAGTTTGTGACCTTAATTGTCAGATCTCATGTAGTGACAGCTCTGATGGCCATTCCAGAAAAAGAGTTCCAAAATTGCTTTGAAGAGTGGACTAGACACTGACATCAGTGCACGGCTTCCCAAATGGAGCACCTTGACCGTGACCATGGTGATATTCAGTAATGGCGTATGTAGTACTTTTTCTAGAAGGAGTTCATGGACTTAACTGTACAACCTCATATTCCAAATAGACTAAGTCACTTCTTTCACTCCCATAGTATTATATGATGCTTCTCCTATGATGCTGAATACAATGTACTTGACTTAGTGGTTTATGTCAATCTCTATGACTAAACTGTGATCTTTCCCCCTTGGCCCCATGAAGCCGTAGTGTGAGTCGTGTTACCCAGGAAACAAATTCTGAAGCAGAGATTTGCACACAGGAAGTTGTTGAGAGGTCTCCTTGCAATCTACACCTGTGAAGAAGCATAGGCAGTCCTTGGGCAGAGGCAGGGGTTGAACTAGGGCGCAGCTGCAACAAAGATGGGTGGCTCCAGGAGGAGGGCTGTCCTTCCCTGAGCTTGAGGACAAGGTCTTTGAATCCCTGCGTCTACCAGTCAGTTGATACAGGCTGCCACCAAGGAAGTGTGACCCTGGGTGAAGAGGCTCTTTTCGCTTGAGGGTAATTATCAGAGAGACTCAGCTATAAACTGTCAGCAGCTAGGGGAGTAAGCACCTCGGTCTTAAACAGAGATCTGGACAGCACACTACAAAAACCACAAGAGTAAACATCCTTGTCCCGGCCTATGTAGTCCCTGACACACAGGAGGTAATTGGCAGCCAGCTGTGGAAGACCGTCTGGCTTACGCTGAGATAAAGATCTAGATTTTATTTTTTTTTGCAGCAGGTATTATTTGAGGACTTTTTCCCTCATAGAAATATTTACTCCAATGAAAGTATGGTTAAGGGTGGCGCCTGTGGCTCAGTGGGTAGGGTGCCAGCCCTAAATACCGAGGGTGGAGGGTTCGAACCTAGCCCCGGCCAAACTGCAACAAAAAAATAGATAGGCATTATGGTGGGTGCCTGAAGTCCCAGCTACTTGTGAGGCTGAGGCAAGAGAATTGCCTAAGCCCAAGAGCTGAAGGTTGCTGTACACCACAGCACTCTACCAACGGCAACAAAGTGAGACTCTTGTCTCTGAAAAAAAAAAAAAAGGAAAGTATGGTTAAAAGAAGAAGATAAAAGAGTGGCTGAAAAAACAAGAAATTTAATCAGTTGCTAAAAAGCACAGCTTATCTACTTTTCTGAAATAGTGGGAATACAACGGTGGTTACAATGAAAACGTTACGTGAAAATAAAAATTAAGTCACAAAGTTTGTACAAAAAACTCCCCAAATGCAAC